TAGCTATTTATTATTAGCATTGTTCTTCCGACGTCTGATTTCTTTTTAATTGTAGGAAATGAGTTTTTCTAAGATACATAAACTACTGGATTGACTGTATAGCCAATACATCCTTAAGTGAACGTAACGCTAAACAATTTTACAGTAAAAGTTGTTCGTAACTGGCGATGCTAATTTTAAGAATTTTCTCTGCTTTCGTTTCGAGTAGAATAAGAAACTGGCAGTATAGTTATATGTATATATGGTACATGTATCTATGCAGTGCCCTAGGGAAGACGCGTATGTATTCTCGCTTACAAATCACTGTTCCAGGCCGATCAGATGAAACAGTTAATTGTGTCTGTGTGCGACGATATTCCAACAGGTCTGATAATGGACTTGGGAGATTGGTCGAGTAAAACCGAGTCAAACCGAACTGGGTCCTCTGTTACTGCCCGGTAATCGAATTACGTAACCGTATGTCGAATTCGTGGAAGCTCTCGAGCAAAATCTACAATTCACAGAAAATTTTCAAGCAGTTCTCACATCCTGATAAGTACGACCATTTTTATGCGAAACGGTATCAATTTAAAATTTCTGCTTTAGAGAAACATTGACATGTGCGATCATACATTTTCTTGTATTCTGAATAATTCATACGTTACAGCTTTCAATTCTCTCGTAAGTGCATCGAGAGTGTGTCGAAGAAATTTCAAGAACTCTAATCGATATGAAACTCTCATTTAAATATGTTATTGGCATCACTGGTTTAACCCTAATTTCTGCAAACATTCCACTCTCTCCCCCTCGAAACGTCCCTATGAAAAATTCACCCTCGTAGAGAACGACGAGAACGAGAAAGGGCGGAGCAACCCTCTTTATCGCGGTCGATTCGTTTGCTTGTTAGGATGATCCCGAGATTTTTATAGATCGCGATGACTGCTCAAGAATTTCCTCATTGACATATTTATACACTCACCGCTGTCGAGACTGTTCTGGTTCTCCAAATCTGGTCCTTGCACCGGCGACGATCTCTCCACTTGCAAATATTCTGTAACAAACGTGCAAATGCAAAAATTATATCTATAACCCAGATACGTGTCGTGTTATAAAAATAGGTCAATTGTGTTCCGTTAAACGGTAAGAGAACTCTAAGAAAAGCGGTGGCTTAATTTGTTGACCGCATTGAAATTTAATGGGATTCCGGACGATCGAGCGGAACAAACTGGGTCCTGGGTCCGGAGGCCAGGGTGGCCGACCCCTTTCCGCCACGGATGAGTATAATACCGGAAAGGGTGGAAAAGAGTCGAGCTCGCCCCATGGGAGTCATACCCCGGTGATATTGGCTCCCATTGCCCATTCCTGCGCATAGGAGACCGAACCACCTTGGGCCAGAGGAAAACTGGCCGAAATTTAAATTTCCCACCGGGATATGCGCAACTTTAAGAGTAACTTGTGCGAAACAGCCAATAACCCTTCTTTCTTTTATGCAAACTATCTTTGCTTTACTCCGAAGGCATGTTTCTATATCATACATAATTAAATAAAATAATACTCTGTTGTACAAAACGATTGGAATATCTATGGTGAAGGGTTCGGGTTAATTGTTTGTTCGTAGGAGGAATAATTCATTGATAAAGGGAGGTAGTAAGTAGGCAGACGGAAGGAAATATACTCAAGCTGGTGGAATTATCATCGCTCATAAGTCACAGGCGCCGCGACGCGGTTCGCGGTTTTCAGAGAAGAGATAACTCGTATAAATAACCCGGAAGTCCGCGGTGTACAATAGTCTTTTTTTACGAGTATGACTTTTGGGAGTTCCAAGGCCGCGCTTGGGACACTGTTGGTAATCAGTTTGTCGTTGCCACCGAAATATACTACGTGAACGGCCGACAACGTGGAATGGAAAAAAAACACAAACCGAAAAAAGGCAGGCTGCAATTTTAGATTTCGCTAACGAGACCGATCGCGGTGTCGGTGACAATTATACGAACAGACACGCGCCTTATTTCTCTTTAATTAGAAATTAATATTCAATAAAAATCCACGTGATAAATGAGACTCGATTTCTCTTGATAAAGACGATACCCTTCGACCAAATATTTTGATACACAAATGCCTGGGAATAGATTCGAAGAGATCGCCTCTTTGACGGGAAAATGCAGCGGCGAATATTTAATGATTAATCATGAGAAATGCTTCCGAGTTACGCGATTGTCTTTCGCGTATAAATTTCGGGGGACGCTGGAAGCTGTTGGGAACCGGTTTTGGTTTTGTATTAGCATGTAACTCCGGCAGGAGTTGAAGTTGCGATGGGTCGTGGGTGGGTGGGTGGTTAGGTGGGCGAGCTGCAGGGAGGGTAATTACCTCCTTGGGGAGTCCCCTTCCTCGTGCCCGTAGCCGGGCTATAGCCCATAGCCCCAGCACGGGTACAGAGGCTTCCCACTGCTCCCAGTGGTCCCGCGGGGACAACGGCAGCGACTCTCATCCTGCCTCCGGTTCTCATTCGAATCAAATTGGATTCGAGCTTCGACCGTTGTTAATTCTTTTTAATATTATAATCTTCGGTCGACTCGAAGGAACTCGTTTATCGGATAAAATGTTAATGCCAAATAGCTCGCGTGCACTCGTTCTGAACATCGTCAAACGATTTGATCAGGGTAACCATCGAATCTAAGCTACGTACCTGAAACCAGAGACTCGTGATTGTTTCGCGTTTCTTTTCGTTTCAACGTAGGAACCGAATGAGACCTTCGGAAACAGACGAGATTGCTGGACGTTCGTTGAAATCCGAGAAACTCGGACGGTTCAGCGTCATCGGCACATGCCACTGTTAAGGATATCCCGGTGTCCCTCGGGAGCACGCGGCAAACAATAGCGATAGGCCACCCTTAGACTCGAATGTCTCGTTCGGTTATCCTTCGACCTTCCTTAACGGCGACGGGAAAAGACAGAGAAGCGAACCACGGGGACGAAGCAGAGGCGAGGATCGAGAGAGAAAGTATACACCGGGGAAAAGTTTAATTTCTTTCGGAGAAAGATGGCTGTTCCTTGTACTCGGCTCGGTCCACCGCGCGAGGATATCTCCCGCGCCACCAAAGATAGGTGCTCGCTCCCTATGTGTGTATATTAGGGCGCGTGTAGACGTCCGCTAGTCTCCGTACGAATTAATTTCATCGGATGTCCCTACTGGGACATCTCCGTTTGCCCACTGGCGACTTTTCAAAATGGACGAGCTTGGTCGAAAATCGAAACATCGCGACTGGACGAGGTCTGGGAAAATAGCGTGCGCTCCATTTTATCATATTTTAGAGTAATATGAATTACAGTAATGTATTGCAAAAACGATAAATTTTTATTAATAAATGACTGGAAAAAGTTCTTTTCGTTTCAAG